CACACACACACACACACACACACACACACACACACACACACACACACGGTTGTTCTTAGAATCAGGAGGTTGTCATGTGCTCTGAGCCAGGAGGGGTTGAGGTGTGCATCTCCCCTGCCCTGCCGTCTCAGTGGTTTCCCAGAAAACTAAGTTCTCAGTCCCTCCCAAGGTTCCATCTTGGCTCACGTGCTTGGGAGCTGTCAGGGAACTCTCTGCTGGGGGTCTGGGGTTAATGGTTAAGCTGCTGGTTCTCTCAGGTAAGAGGTTAATGTTTGAAAGCTAGAGACAAATTACAGGAAATGCCACTCATGGAGTGTCACCAAGCCTGAAATACTTACTACAAATAAGTATTGAGTGAGGCGACCAAGTCCACGCTGTGGGAAATGTCTCAGGGTCATGACCTTAGCCACCATTCCACTGTGGTATTTATTAGGTGGTTTACAGAAGCCATCAGCCTCTCAGAGGGGCTAGGAGAAGTTTCTGGTTCTCCCTACAAAGAGAATGTTCCAGAAGGAGAGTATAGCGGTCAGGTATTTGTAGGTTCTGTGGTCATAACAGGCCTGGGCATCCATCCAGCTTTGTTACGAAGGGCCTGTGTAACCTCCAGCAAGACCTCTTGGGGCCTTGGAGTCCTGCCTTTTCCTTCAAGCGGGGCATGCTAGCCGCTTTCTTCCTGTCTCTTCCAGCTGGTTGGTCTCTGCCGAGCATGAGTGAGGAGGCACAGGACTTTTTGTACTGTTGTGCTTTTCTGTCAAGATTTACAATCCTCTAGCATTGATCATATTATGTAACCACTTGTATCAGGCCAGGAGGAACTGTGGGCTCCTGGGTGACCTCTGTCAGCAGGTGCAGGGTCCCACAGCAAGGGTATTCCAAGTCCTCTGTCATGTGCTCCAGAAATAGTCCCAGGTTATCAGCAGGCTATCTGTGCTGATTTACGCCAGGGATGGAGGATGGCCCCTGTGGGCCAACACAGGAAAAAGAGAAAGCGGGCAGAGGACTGGGTCTCTGTGAGCCAGGTACCCTGCTTGAGAAGGGGCTGAAGATCCTCAACTTGGTCTTCGCCCCTTTCCCAGTTCCACTTCACCTTAGACTGGCCTCTGGGGCTGTCTCTAGGCAAAACACAGGCACAGGTGATGCTGGGGTCTGCCTTGGGCCTGGAGCAGATTCAGGGGCTTCCCATATGGGTCTAGAGAAGCCCATAGCCTTCACTAGGTGGTGGCGGACCATTCTCTCCTAGCTGTGGCTTTTATGTTGGCTTCACTCTCCTCGGGCAGCTGACACTTAAGTCTTGCCCTCTCTCTCTCTTTTATTTATTAATTATTTTATATTCTGTTGGCGGTTCCCCCCTCCTCTCCTCCCAGTCTCTTCCCACCACCTCCCTCCATCCCTTCTTCTTTACTCCTTTTCTCTCTCTCTCTCTTAACAGGGTTTCATTTAGCCCATGCTGGCCTCAAACTTACTAGGTAGTTGAAGATGATCTTGAACTTCTGATCCTCCTGCCTCCATTTCCTGGGTGCTGAGATTACAGATGTGTGCCATCATGCCAGGTCCTGTGGTGCTGAGATGGACCCAGGGAGCTCAGGACTTGATGTGTGCTTGGCAAGCACTCTCCAACAGAGCTCTATGCCAGCACTTGTCAAAACTTCTTCATCTTTTGAAGACATATTAAATTCTTTAAAGACCACATAAGCAGTAAAATAAAAATAGTCCAAACAAGGACCATCGAAACGCTCAGGCCTCCATGTGAACATACCACCTGCCAGGAATCCGTGAGTCTGCTCTTAGCCTTCTTTGCCCAGAGGGTAGAACTGAACTGGGTGTTTAGTAAATGCGGGGTCAGGAGTTGGTGCCACTGATGTGAGGGGCAGCCTGTCAGGATGGCCCATCACTGCTGAGGAGATGGGACAGCTGCGTGAGATTCCAGCTTCATCAGTCTCCCTGCATTTGTCACTCAGCCCCCACCCTGGAGTCCTCTGTTCTTCCTCTGAACATGGGGCGTTGACTCCCTGCGATACCTGGGCTGTTGGGATATTCAGCTCCAGAATGTCTGCTGCTCATAGCTCAGGCCTGGCATGACCCCAGCCCAGGGCCTGGCTGACATGAAGAGCATGGCACTGAGCCAGCTGGCACCCTTACCATGCCTTGGCCAGCTCTAGCTTGGCTGTTCTGTGGACCCTGCCCAACATGACCCCCTGAAGACTCTCAGACATCCTGACAGCTCATTCTGTCTGGTCAGGCAGGCAAGGTCATCAATCACACCGCCTGGAACTTTTGGCTAGTTCCCTGGTGGCTTAGCCAGCCCCAGCCATCTCTGAGTCCTGCTTTCCTGGTGATTAATAGGCTCTGGAAGTGGCCACTTGCCCCAATACTGGAAAAGCCACTGAATAGATAAGGAGACCCTGTCCTGCAGCCACGTGGAGATATCTGCCTAAGGAAGGGGGCAACACAGGTCCCTCTGTGGCCTCCTGGGACTCCAAATGCCGGAAGTAGAGAGCAGCAGCATTTTCTGGAAAGCATCCTCCCAGGACCAGGTCCCACCCATTACATTAATACTCTTCTCATCGCTGTGACAAAATCAGCTTAAGAAAGGGGGCTGCCTATTGGTTCACAGTTTGAGGGTACAGTCGTTCTGACTCAGACACAGCATCGGGAGCTCAAGGCAGCTGCTCACCTGGCACCCACAATCGGCAGAGAGATAATGTCCATGCTCAGCTCACTTCCTCCTTTTCTTTCAGCCCAGCCTATGAAACGGTGCTACCCACACTTGGGGTGCCTCTTCCCGCCCCAGTTACTCAATCTAGAAGCCCCCCCCCCCAGACATGCCCAGAAATCTCTGTCTGAAGTGACTCTGGGTCCCGTCAGGTTGACAGTAAACATCGATTATCAGACCCAGGAGCACCTGGGAAGACCCTTCTCAGACCTGGAGAGAGCACTCATGGCTGGCCGGTGGAAGACTGGTGTGTGGTACGGTGGGACAAACAGGCACTCCATGGCTGTGCCAAAACAGAAATGCACGGGGCTTTCCACCCCACCCCCACCCCTAGGCTCACCGAGCTTATCTCCTGGGTTTCCCAGATGACCAGCATCTAGTTCTTGGTCCTGCAGATGCTTTTGCTGGCCCTCGGGACCCTATTATTAGTTAGTTTTCCTGTTGCCCTGATGTCAACAACCTAAGAGAGGAGGGATTTATTTTTCCTCAGTTTCTGAGGGCTCATTATATAGTCCTTGGTCCTACTGATTTTAGGCTTGTGGTGAGGCGGAATGGTCAGAAGGATGAGGTGAACAGGAGGCAGAGCATAAGGAAGAGCTGGCCCTCAGTGACTGAACCCCACTCAAAAGTTTCCAGAGCCTCTGAGAACAGCACCACCAGCTGGAGACCAACTGATGAGCACATGAGCCAGCGGGGGACATTTCTATTTATAACAAGACAACCAGGTCTGGGATGTAGCTCAGCTGATAGCCTAATACACGTGAATACCTGGATTCCATCCCCAGCCATCCATAAACCAGGCACCATGGTTGTGATGGTTAGCTTCACTTGTTAACTTGACTCAACCTAAGGTCATGTGAGAGGAGAGTCTCAGTGAGGGAGTATTTACACTGGCTTGTGGCCATGTCTGTGGAGGATTATCCTAATGGAGTTAACAGACCCAGCTCACTGTGGGCAGCACCATCCCCTAGGCAGAGGTTCCAAACTGTATAAAAGCAAAGAAATGGAGCTGAGAACAAGCGATAAAGGAATCGAGCCTGCAATCATTCATTTCTCTCTGCTCTTGACATGGATATAATGTGACTAAATGCTTCACGTTCCTGTCACTGTGTTTTAACCTAGAACTGTAAAACAATAAACCCTTTCTCCCCTTACTTTTTGGTAGAATACTGTGTCACAACAACAGAAATGAACTAGGACAGTGGGCCAAACTCTAATCTCAGGACTCAGGAGATGGAGGTAAGAGGATCAGGAGTTCAATGACTGCCTGAGATACATAGTGAGTTCAAGGCTGTTCTCAGATACATGAAACCTAGAGAGAGAGAGAGAGAGAGAGAGAGAGAGAGAGAGAGAGAGAGAAGCAGGGGGAGGCAATGTTCAAGCATCATTCCGACCATGCAAGGTGTTCTCATGACATCTTTATCCCTTTTCAATACAGTCTCCATGGTAACCTGACCCACCACAGAGGCTTCACCCCTTAATTCCTGTCAGAAGCAATGGGAAACCTGCCCAATACACAACTCTCTGGGCTTTGGCCTACAGGATTCTATTCAGCCATTGGGAGGCCAGACCCAGAAACTTGTGTTTTTATAAACTTCCCAGAGATGCTTTGAGAATTCATGCATCCTTCCCTTCTTCCCTGATCTGAGGGTCCAAAAGGCCCCCGCTTGCAGCACACAGTGACAGAGGCAGTCATTGAGTTTCCAAAGAGAACACTATTGTCCATCAGGCAGAGGTCCCCAAGAGCAGAAGCCTCTCTGAGAGTCCACAGCTGGAGCCCCGGGCCTCCTGTGGGCCTGGCAGAGTGAGGGTATCAACATGTGGCCAATGACTTAGTAGATGGTCCAATGTTGGCACCCTTGATTTTCACACCAGTCCCTTTTATGTGTGGACTTGTCCTTGATACCCCTGCGACTTCTCAGTTCCATGTCTTCATGGGGGGCTCCACTCTCCCTGCCAGGCTCTGGTTTGGTGTCTGTGGGAGGAACCCAAGGCATCTGATTCAACCAACCCCCCACTTTAAATAAGGCATAAGTCATGAAGAAGAGTGAGGGTTTCTTTGGTGGGGGGGGGGGACAGTGAGTTGACACAGCCAGGAAACACAGGGCAGGATGTTGTCAGCCTGGCTCACTATTTGGTGGTGTTTCATAGTCTCCAAACTTCTGACCTGTCCTGAGGCACTGGTTAACCTCAGGAAGGCTCAGAGACCATCATGAAGAGGCAAGGAGGTGTGTGTGTGTGTGTGTGTGTGTGTGTGTGTGTGTGAGAGAGAGAGAGAGAGAGAGAGAGAGAGAGAGAGAGAGAGATTGAGAGAGAGAATACCCACAATCCACAAGGGGTGAGCCTGGCCAGGATGAACTGGGTCAGCAGAGGGTACAAAGGTCTGAGGTCTGGGGAGGTGAGAAGGTAAGTCAGATGTGTGTTTGTGCCTGTCAGTAGTGCTAGCACCTAGTGGGCCTGGGAGAAGGTCTAGAGGTAGAATGAAGGAGAGGGGCAGGCAACAGTCCAAGACAAGGATTGAGAGTCTAAAAACAAAGTAAGGGAAGCCTCTGACTCGGATGGTCATTGTTGTATTTTGCTTCATTTTCTTGAGACAGAATTTTATGTAGCCCCCGCTGGCCTCAAACTTACTGTGGAGTGAGGAGGACATTGAACTTTTGATTCTTCTGCCTCCTCCCTCTTGGGATCACAGGCATGTGCTACCACACCCAGCTTATGTGGTACTGGGACCCAAACCCAGTGCTCTTGCACATGCTAGGCAAGTGCTCTTCCAATTGAGCCACAACCCAATCCCTGGGGCTATGAGTTGACTAGGAAATGTTCCCCAGAGGCTAACACCTTCATCCCTTGGCCCCTGGTTGATGGTGTTGTCTTGAAAGACATTGGAAACTACAGGGAGCCAGGAGCTAGAGAAACACCTCAGAGACAGAGTATGAGCAAGACCCTAGCATTCTCCATGCTCCAACCCTGGAAGGGTTGGATTCAAGGTGTCAGCGCATTATGGGAACTGGGGTTAAAGGGTGGTGGGCAGCCTTGGTCCAGGCTCCATCCCAATCCAGTGCTGCTCTTCTCTGCAGGCTGTGAGGGGCTTTGGGACAACATGAGCTGCTGGCCCTCCTCAGCACACGCACGGACGGTGGAAGTGCCATGTCCGAAGTTCCTCCAGATGCTCACAAGCAAAAATGGTAACCAGTCACCACAAAGAGCCCTAGCCAGAGGTTGTAATGGTTTCTGGATGAGGACTCAGGTGCCAGAAATCTCTGAGGGCTACCATTGTGTGAAAATGATAAAGGGAACTCTGGAGACTAGAATCTTTTCGTGGGTGTGTGAGAACGAAATTTTCAGGGTCTCAAGGAAGGAACCAGGAGACAAAGTCTTTAGGGAAGTGTGAAGAAGGCTGAGGCCAGTGCGATGGCTCAGCATGTTAAAGGTGCTTGCTGCCAAGTCTGTTGACCTGAGCTTGATCCCCAGGACCCACCTGGTGGAGGAAGAGAACCGACCCCCACTAGTTGTTTTCTGACTGCCACACAGGCTTCCAAACAAGTAAATGTAATTTTAAAAAGGAGGAAGAGAAAGAAGAGAATGAGGTGATAGAGGAAGAGGAGAAGGGAGATCGGAAGAGGAGGAGGAGGGGAAGAGGAGAGAAAAAAGGTAGCATCGGCTAAGCTGTGCCTCATGACCTCAGTTTAGAAACCCTCTCTCCTTCTTCCAATGTTTCGGTTCCCTCCACAATCAGACACCTTGCTTCAGACAGTCCTACAGTGCCAGCCTCTGAAACAGGCTGCCTCTAGAAAACTCACATCCTGTGCCCATTATTCTGGACCTTGCTGGTACCCGGATGCTTCCCTGGTGCTCTAGTTCCTGGGTGATGCCTTACCTAAGCACACCTGTGGTTTGTGAGGATTGCAGGTGCTTGCTGCCATGGCCAGTTTTCCATGGGTGCTGGGATCCAACCTTGGGTACTCACGTTTGCACAGCAAGCTCTTTCCCCTCCCAGCCTCTCCCTAGCCCTGGAAGTAAATTTTAAACATTTTTTTTTGTTCCTTCTCTTTCACCTCTCATACTTACCTTGCTAACCTCCAAATCTGCACCCTAGTCCCCCCTCTCTCCATCATGCTAGCACCTTCAGTTTTACCAAAGGTCTTTTCTCCTGGTAGGACCCCTCCATGTCAGTACTTGGGTCTGTGAAGCTCAGGAGTAGACTATTCTTGCAGCCATGGTTGGCTTGAGCAATGTACTGGTCCCAACATCCAGGACGGTCCATGGCTGGCCAGGTATCTGTTGTAAAGGACTTTTGGGCCTCTGTTCTAACAGCCATCCCCTCCAGAAAGCCTTCTTAGAGCCCCCACACCCACCCTTTTGCAGTGTGACTAAAAAGAGCCAGTGCCTGTGGCCACAAGGGTGATAAAATGCCTGCCTGGTCACATTCCTCCTGATTAAATGTTTGAACTTCTGTCCACCTATTAACTAGAAGACCTCTGAATGATTGGTGAGTAACCCACAAGTCACTTTTCTTCTGCTGCAACCTTCGTCTGCCTGCCACATGGTGTCACTGTGGGGCAGGTTTACCCTGAGGCTCTGCCTTCTAGGTGCTGGCCTGGCTCAGGGGTTGGTAGGAGGACCACTTCACTAGGTCATACCTAGCTTCGGGATGCTGGCTGGCGAAGAGCATGGGCCAGGAACGGCCTGCTGGTCACCAAGAACTGTTCTCCTGCACAGTTTTGTCTCTGATCTGACTGGACACTTGCCCTCTGACCCACCAGAGAGGAAGGCTCCAATCCCAGGGAGAAGTGCTCATGGACACCAGCCAGTGTTCAGGACAGCTTCCTTTTGAAGAAGGCAAATACATTCTAGAGTTAATTCCTAAGTAGCCCTTTCCCACAACAGTCTCCATGCTGGCCCAGACAGGCATCTGAGTGACTGGAAAAGCTGCAGGCTGCTTTCTGCCTCGGATAGTTCTCCTGCCGGGCCTAGAATGTTCCTTCAAGGAAACATTCCTTTGATTCTTAAAACAGCACTGAAAATTTTAAAGTTATTTTCTAAAATGTATTTAGAAGGACCTGATACCGCAGGCCTGTAATCCCAGCCTTCTCTAAGACTGAGGCAGGAGAATCCCAAGTTTAAGGCCTTTCTGAGCCAACTTAGAGAGTCTGCCGAAAAAGAAAAAGAGAAAGAAAAAGAAGAGGGGCTGGATGGCAGCTTGGTTGTAAAGTACTTGCTGTACAAATATGAGGGTCTGAGTCTGATCCCTACCATTCAGGGAAAAGCTGGTGAAGAATGGTTGAGGAAGATACTTCATATCAACTTCTGGCCTCCCTGTACACACACACACACACACACACACACACACACACACACATTTTTGGACTTGAGAATCAAATGAGGGCTTTGGACAGGCTCTCCCCTGAACTGCACATGCATGCACACACAGACATGAAAACTTACATTTCCAGAGCTCTTCTGAAGGAATCACTGTCGCTGTTAGGAATGAGGAAATGAGTGGAACTGAAGGTGTGGCGAGAGCCCATCTTTTTGCTGCAACACCCTAGCCTTGTCAAAGGTTCAGGAACCAACAGTCAGGCATCTTGGGAATGCTCTTAGGTCCCTGAGGACCTGGAGGACTCTAAACAGGCAGGCAGCTGTGCTAGGCTGGATCCATAGGGGTCTACCATCTCAGCCTGTGCTGACAGCCTTTGGCCCTGGGCCTGTGTGTTTCTATCCAGTCAGCCCACATTTGACCATCACTTTTTCTCCTCCCACAACCTCGCTCCCTGACTTCATTCCAAAGCTCTCTCACCTCTCCCTTGAATGCTTAGACCACACCCTGCCCAGGCCTGCCTCTTGTGGGAAGGCCGCTTCTGGCCGGCACCAGCCTGGCACTTTGTGGTGGACTATATACTTCTTCACCCTCACTATGGTGAGAGTGGTTTGCGTAAAGTCACATAAAGACTGGGACACAGCTCAGTGCAGAAAACTATGATTTGGCTGACTCTAGGCCAATGTTTCAGGACTCCTGAGACTAGCGGATGCTGTGGGGCCCACAGGGAGTGTGCCTGGTGGAAGAGGGCCAGTCATGGCATAACCCCCATGTGTGCACTGTTTTCCAGTGCCCCCTCACCAAGCTGTGGGACGAGACCAGAATCTTTACAGGAAAAGTTTAGAATTGTGCCTGGCCCAAGAAAAGCAGGCAGTGTTTCTCCAGCACAGTGGAGCCTGTTGGACCCCAAACCACAAACAGTGGCCCAGGCCCTGGGGTCACTAGGAGAGAGCAAGCCAGGTCCAGCAGGGGTTATTTTGGGGCCCCTGAATAGGGCTCTCATCCATGGAACTTGGTGATGACACCCTCAGCCTGTGATGGACATAGGCCCTCGGAGACTAGAATGAAAATTGTTCTTAATGAACAATCAGTTGTTCATTAAGAACAGGACAGCAACTGCTGGAGGCTGCAGACGGCCTTCCTGACCAGTGGCTCCCTCCCTTTGTCTTTGGATCCTGGCTTTGAAAGGTCAGGTGGGTGACAGGAGTAGGCAGGTGTTAGAATGTGTGCCTAGAATTCAAGAGGTCCTGGTGAGATCCTACACCTACACAAGCACATGTGTGCACGCCCACTGTGGGACATTCTTCCCTTCCAGTGTACTCCATGCAGTGGGAAACTCAACCGTGTTCTTACAAAAAGAACTCACCTCATTCGTTACTGTCTGTGCAGCGAGCCAGGGTTGATGCCCGAGTCCTCTGGCCATACTCTTGGTTCCAGGAAACCATTGCCCATGTGGTCAGAGGAGTCAGCCTGCAGCTTCCTGCCAGGCAGGGACGGGGGACAAACACAGCTGCTCCCAACAGACAACCTCAACGTTGTAGCTAAAGGAATAAAACCCAGTTCCTTCCACAGGGAGCAGCTGCCTGACAGGCTTTGCCTCCGTGACCTCTGTGGTTTCCATCTGGTGAGATGAGCAGGGCACAGTGGTAAAGTAGCACAGTGGTCAAGCATGAAGACCTAAGTCTGATCCCCAGAACCTATGTAAAACTGTAAAACTCTCTAGTAATGCCAGAAACAGGTGGACCCCTGGGACTCAGTAACCAGTTGGCTTAGTCTAGTTGGCAAGTTCCAAGCCAGTGAGAAACTCTGTCTCTAAATCCAAGGTGGATGGTATTTGAGGAATGGGACCCAAGGTTGACCTCTGACCTAGACACACACACACAAACACACAGAGAGAGACAGACAGACAGTGACGCAGAAAGACAGAGAGGGAGAGAAGGGGGAGAGGGAGGGAGACAGGGAAAGAGATAAAGACAGACAGACAGACAGAGAGCACCCTTGGAACAGGGTTCTAACTGTGGGAGCCTAAAGATTCACCCACAGAAGCCAAGCCCTCACCTTCCACACAGGTGCTCTAGGACTCCCTCCTATGTCAACAGAACCAGGAGCAAGAAAGGGCATTCTTACATGATGAAGAGCCCTGCGGTCCAACCCCCTTTCTCCATTCACTGAGATCTGATGTGGGCAAGTTACATCAGCACTGCATGCCTCAATTTGCCCACCTACACAAAGATGTTGATATTTTCATGTTACCAGAGTTTTACTGAAATGATTCCATTGCCCAGTCCTCACTGCTCATCTGCTGTACACTTGTCTCCCTCAGGCTCTCTGTTCCGGAACTGCACACAGGATGGCTGGTCAGAAACTTTCCCCAGGCCTGACCTGGCCTGTGGGCTCAACATGAATGTCTCTTCTAATGAGAAGCGGGTAAGACTGTTACGTTGTGCCACCTGAGATGAATGAATGTAGGGTGAGGAGAAAGGACAGGGAAGCCAGAGAGGACCTGAGTGCCGGGATTATAGGCACGCACCATCACATCTAGTTCATGAGGAGTGGAGGATGGGACCAAAGGCTCTGTGCATGCTAGCAAAGCAGCACTCGATTGGCCAAGCCACACCCAGGCCAAACTTAGTTCTGTTAAAGCTCTCCTTCCTTCATCAGCTCATGATGACATGTGCTTGGCTTTCTCTCTCTCTCTCTCTCTCTCTCTCTCTCTCTCTCTCTCTCCTCCCTCCTTTTTCCTCTCTCCCTCCCTCCCTTTCTTTCTTTCTTTTTTTTTTTTAGTCATGCCATTCCCAGACATGTGTCACTAGAGTATTGACAGATGTCAGTGTTGGACTCAGACAACCAAGAAGAGCAGGTACGGGTGCCCTAAGCAGCTACAGTGTTGAGGGCACCTGACTTAGAGCAAAGATTGTCAGACTGCACCTTGGGCAGCTTTTGCAATTGAAGTTTTGTTGGGATAGAGCCAAGCCCGTTAGCACCACAAGGCTCTTCTGCATGACAGGGACCAAGCTGAGTAGTTACAAGAGACTATGTGGGTCTTTGAGCTTAAAATATTTGCTGTCTGTCTCGTAATAGAAAATTCCCACTGTCAGCTGAGTAGAGCAGACAGCAAACAGGTGGCACTGTCAGGCTCCAAGGCGGAGACAGTTAGTTTGACACAGGAGAGAGGGCAAGGATGTTGCTGGACTGAGTCTTCTCGGGGCAATGGACAGCTGCAGGGAACAAGGGTCATGTGAGAACTCCTGGGAGCCGAGGTCATGATGGGGTCAAACCTCATGGACGTGAAATTGGGGCTGAAGGTCACTTGGTACTGAATAGGACAAATTATTCTGCCAGGACACTGCACAGTCAACCTGTGCCTTCTCTGGCTCCCACGAGCCCGTGTAGGCATTGCTGGAACAGAAGGCCACCCTCCGTGATGTGGGTCTCCCTGCGCCATGTCTCAAACTGAAGGAAAGGGCACAGCGTAGCGGTTTGGAGCATGAACTAGGGAGCTGGGATTGCACACCAACAGGTTGATCCCGTCGTTGATCAAGGCTTTCAGAATTCCACAGATCTCCTTCCTTCCTTCTTTTTATTTCTTTAAAGACAGAGTCTCATATAGCCCAGACTGGCCTCAACCTCCCTAAATAGCCCTGAGTGACCTAGAACTCCTGTTCCTCCAGCCCCTCCTTCTGAGTGCTAAACCATGCCTGATATGTGTGGTGCTGAGACTCACACTCAGAGCTTTTAACCTGCTAAACGAGCTTTCTGTCAACTCTTCTCACCTTAGGAAAAGGACGCTCTAGCCCTACTACTGAACCAGCCACTCCCTGTTTTCCCTTTCCCAGCTCCAGAAATAACCATCCCAGTCACAACCATTCCACTTTATCTCATTTGATTTTATTAGGAAGGGTCTCTTATCGCCCGGGCTGGTATCAAACTCCTTGTGTAGCTGAGGTGACTGTGAACATCTGAGCCTCCTGCCTCTCCCTCCTGTGTGTTGGATGACAGGCGTGTGCCACCATGCCTGGTTTATATAGCACTAGGGTGGAGCTGAGCCACATCCCAGCCCTGCACAATTCTTTGGTGTTCCGAATTCGAGGGGTCATTAATCTAAGGCAGCTCACCTTCAGAGCTCTTCTCTTCCTCCCCGAGAGACGGCTTTTGGCTTTAGGGATGGCTGCAGCAAGAGGGAGGCCCCGGCAACCACAGTTGTCATGTGGAGGGTCCGATGCCAAACATCCTTATTTATTTGGAGTCAGAATCTACATACTTTCTCAAAGCTTCTTCCACTGGACTTCCTTTACAAAGGGAGTCTTGCCATTCATCTTGTCAATCATTCTAAGATTTCTTCCCTAAATTGCCACCACTCTCCCACCCCACACACTCAGCATTTCCTGTGAACTTCAGGCCATGCAACACGTCACTCAGAAGCACCCAGATTTGTTAAGGTGCCTCTTAAAATAACACAGTCGGGCTGACGGCTGACGACAGCCCAGGGACACTGCCACCTGTTCAGAACATTCTATTGGTGGAAGAGAAAACAGGTTCCATTTTTATTTTTGGAGGCCAACTCATACCCCAGAGTTTCTACCACCTCATCCTGCTGGCGCATGCTGGGGGATGGGAATTGTTGGGGGAAGTGACAGACACTGTGGGCCCTCTGAATGGCAGGCATTGTAGATACACCCCACCTATTAGCTTCCTCCTGTTTCCAGCAAACCTGCAAGGGAGACATAGGACCCCCATTTTGTAGGTAAAGAATCTGAGGCTCAGGGGAGTAAATTAAGTAATTTGCTCAGGGTTGCAAAACTGATAAGCACGAGGCTGGCCTTCTCGGGTTTGGAAGCTTGTCTTATTTCTCTCCTGTCTGCTGTACGACACTGTGGCGTTTGGGCCATTCCAACCCTGAGGCCATCGCTGTGCAAAGTGATCAAGGTACAGCTCTTGTGCCTTAAAAACTTAATTCCCCCTCTTTAGTCACTTACTAGACGTCACTTATCAAAACGCCAGGATAGAAAAATGCAAAAGGAAATAACATCTCTGCTCAGAACCACAAAACCGAGGTCAGCAATTTGCTCACACATGACAGATCTCCTTACCACTTTTTTTTTTTTTTAAGAATTTTAAAATTACACTTGTTTATTTTTTAGTGTGTGTGTGGGGGCACCTGTGCCATGGCTCAGGAGGCCAGAGGACAATTTTCTGTGATCAGTTCTCTTCTTCTACTATGTGAGGCCCAAGGCCTGGACTCACATCAGATTTGTCCAAAAGTGTCTTTACTTGATGGACACCCTGCCAGCTCACAAGCTTATTTTAATAAAGATAAGAAACTGAACCGTACAGACCGGCTGATATCCTTTTTTTTTGAGACAAAGTCTTATGTGCTACAGCCTAGCCTCCAACTCACTATGCTACACAGCTTTATAGATTTAAAAAGAATGTGATTATAAGATCAGATCACAGGATATTTAAGTGCAGGTCCTCCCAATCAATACCCCAGCATGGCAGATTCTCACAGATAGCCAATACCAGTGGCTTGCTTTACTTCCTTATCAGGGCCTCGTGTAGTCAGACACAGCTTTATACTCTCCTTGTGGCTGGGAAGAACCCTGAACTTTTGATACTTCAACCTCTACCTGCTTGTGCACCCCAGCCCCTACCCACTATTCAAAGTGCTGGGAATGGAAGCCAGGGCTTCACACATGCTAGACAAGCAGTCTCCAGTCTGAACCCCAGCCCCAGCTACCCAACCATTGATCACAAAAAAAGCCGTTTGTTATAACCGAACTCTTTTTTACATGTAGCTGAAATCACACTGCACATGTAAAGTTTGTCTTCTGCCTTTGCACCGTGAATGGTCCCGACTTCTTTAGAAACTCTCAGAAAACATTAACCCTGGAATGTCGTTAAAGGTATGTAGGTTTAAGATAATGTACTTAGCTATTCCATGGTTGGGTGCTGGACGTTGTCACAGTAGTTTTGTAAGGAACACTTTGAACCAACAGGATGGATAAAGGGTCTTCCCCCAAGCTTGATGCTCCACACACAGAAAAAAATAAATGTAATCTCAGATATGTCTTTATAAACAAATATTTTTTTTCTGACAATTGTTGTCCCTCAGGGTCCTTGTGGCATTGGTTCTTCGAAACCCACCCATACCCAAATTTGAAGATACTAAAATCTCTTATATAAAATTGCATAATATTTGCATAGCACTTACGAACAGCCTTGTGCATCCCTGATGTCACCTCTGGAGGACCTGCAGCACTGAATGTACTGTGGGGATGCTCTAGAAACAGTGGCACTGTATTGCCCAGGGAATAAGGGCAAGGACCAATGTCTGCACTGGCTCAGGACAGAAAGAGGTTTTTATATATATTTTCGCACTTATTTATTCTATGTGGCACATGTGTGGAGGTTGGAGGACAATTTGCAACTTGGTTCTCTCCTTCCACCGCGTGGTTCCCAGGACTAGAACCCAGAGCATCACTCACCACCTCTCCAGGACAGAAACAGCCCCCCTCCGCCAATATTTTAAAATTGTGGTTCATGGAATATGTAGACACAGAACTGTGACTGCGGAAGGCTGGCTCAGCTTCTTAGAGTTAACCCCAGAGTGCCCCCTGCAGCTGCATTAGCAGAGTGCCTGTCTAGCATGCTGGCTTCCATCCCTGTCCGGGGAAAACTGGGCAGGGTGGCCCACGCCGCTCAAGAGGTGTCCATAAGAAAATCGCTAGTTCGAGACTATCATCAGCTACACATCAGGCCTGAAGCCAGCTTGGGCTATGTGAGACCCTGTCTCAAAACAGAAGGGTCATCAAGAAGAAATGCCTATTTCAAAGGCTCTCGGTAAGTAGCTCCACAGACTGCCTGAAAAATTGAACCCATTTTCACTCCCACGTTTCCTTCACCTGGATGGTGTGTTATTAATTTTAGATATATATTTAGATATAAATTTGTTAAATTTATCACTGTTTTACTACTGTTAATATCATTGTCTTAATGTTTGTTTCCTCAACCCACTTTAAGACTATTGTACAATTCATTTTCCTGAGCCTAAGTGTAGATATTATTTAATTTTTTTGTTTGGTATTCCTTTCTACTGCAATGTTTTTGCATCAAACGGTGTGAAGTGGCTGGTGAACAACTAAATGTCTGTCTGGTCACATTCATGGTAGAGTAGGGCATAGGTCAGAGGTGATGCTTCTACGTGCCTTCCTGGTCTGGGCTGTACAGCGATGTGATTCTTGTTGTCATTGTCATTTAAAAATATTTATTTTATGTCAGGTGGTGGTGGCACACACCTTTAATCCCAGCACTCAGGAGTCAGAAGCAGGAGGATCTGAGTTTGAGGTCAGTCTGATCTGAGTTCCAGAGTAGCCAGGGCTACACAGAGGAACCCCAAACAATTATTTTATTTTAATTTATGTGTACTGTACATATATGTGCGTGTGCAGGTGCCCTTGAGGTCAGATGAGTGTGTCTGAGCCCCCAGGAGCTGGAGCTAGTTACAGTGATTGTGAGCTGCCTAACACAGGCCCTGGGAGCCAAACAGTCTTCTGCAAGAGAAGCAAGCACCCCTGAGCACTAAGCCACTGTTCCAGGCCTCTGGGTGTCTTACTTAAGGATATCAACAAACCACCACTGCAACTGAACTAATGTTGATGCTGTGGACAGAGGTCAAAACCAGGCACCGAGAACTGAGAAGATAAGTGAGGGTCAATGGGCAGAACAGATTTATTTGAAAATGACAGGGCACTGCGTACAATCTTAAAACCTTTCCACATAGGACAGGCTTCGTCTAGAAGGCGTATTCATTTTAGATGGTTCTAGAAAGAAAAATTAAAGAAAAGAATACATAAATGAAATACAAAAGTTAGCTCTGTTGAGTGCTACTTTAAAAGATTACGGCTGGTACCAACAGCACACACCTTAATGCCTGCACTTAGAAGGTAGAGGCAGGAGGATCAGAAGTTCAAGGTCATCTTCAGTTATGTTATGGGTTCAAGGCCAGCCTGGAATATATGAGACCCTGTGTCTCAAAGACAAAAGGGGGTGGGTGTAGTTAACTTGAGTCCTTGCCTAGCTTGCAGAGAGCCCTGGGTTTGACCCCAGCACTGTATAAATCAGGCATGGCAGCACACACCTGTAGCCCAAGCATCTGGGAAGTGGAGGCAGGAGGATCCGGAGCTCAAGGTTATCCACAAAGGAAGTTTGAAGCCTGCCTGATATACATAAAACACTTTCTCAAAAAAACTTTTTTTCCTAGTATTTTGCATTGTTGAATGCCAAGTGACTTCCTCCAAAGGTAGTGAGCAGCTTGTCTCTGGGAGTGTTTAAGTAAAACTTTGAATTCATAGTGCTGGTAAAGAGACCTACCAACAGGCACGGGAATAAGCAGTCAAGGCTGAGCCAGCGCTGCCTCAAGCCGGTGCCCTGGGACACAGAAGAGCCAGTTTACAGCCAGTGGGGTGGTGGGGGGAGGGCTGACCTGTGTCTCTCTCTCTCTGCAGCATGCGTACCTGCTGAAGCTCAAGGTCATGTACACTGTAGGCTACAGCTCCTCCTTGGCCATGCTCCTGGTCGCCCTCAGCATCCTGTGCTCTTTCCGGTGAGAACACACTGCCCCCCCCCCCCCCGCCCTCAGGGACACAGTCCTCAAGGCTCTCCCTAATTACTCAGGATGGAAAGAGGGAGGTGTGGGTGGGCCGCCTGGCCATCTCATTAAGCTCAAGGTGGCTATAAATGTGGCTCAACACAGAAGTGGAAATTTAAAACTTGTGTTTTTTTTTTTTTAATAACAAAAAAAAAAAGAGTAAATTCTGTAGATGAGAATGCGCTGTTGCAACATCACCAGAAATAAATGTATGTAAACATATGTGTGCCCTCAAATCCAAAATAAAGTGTGGCAGGGAGGACCAGTAACAAATGTTCAGCCCCCCTGAGCACAGGAGAAAATTCAGGAGCTGGTGGTCATGGCGGGTCAGGGCAGGAGACATGTTACTGTTCCAAAAGTACTAGATTGTGTTACTCTGCCCTGTTCTGGTCTAGCCTATTCCGACAGTATTAGCATGTCAACCCTGCTAGCCTACAATTTGAGGCGATCCCTCGGCCTCTACCACCCAAGGGCTAGGATTAAGGCACGGACCACTCTGGCTGGCTCTCTTCTCTAACTTCAGTGCAGCACACGGTGCGCCGGCCGCCTGGGGCCCTACAAGCTCGCAGGTTCTGTTTACGCAGAGCTGGGACCTGAGGGCTCCTGTCCCGGCTTTGGTTTCCTCGAGAAGGGGAGGGGGCCCGGACAGGCGGCTCTGTGTGAACACCGGCCTCCTTCCACGATCTCGCAGCCCCACACTCTCTCTCACAGGAGGCTGCGCTGCACCCGCAACTACATCCACATGCACCTGTTCGTGTCCTTCATCCTGCGCGCCCTGTCCAACTTCATCAAGGATGCTGTACTCTTCCCCTCCGACGACGTCACCTACTGTGATGCCCACAGGGTAACATGCCTGAGGGTCCTAGACTGATCTTGGGAAGGACCAAGCCCCGTAGCTCGCCGTCCTCCTTGCAAGCACCCATTAACGTTACCCAGATGCCACAGTAACCAGAGGTGCTTCTCAGGACGTGGAAGCTCTGGGAGGGTCTGTAAAGCTTTGCAGCCGTGGTGTAAGTCGTATGTAGTGCAAGCGGTCGAGACCGCCTCGAGTGCCCCGTGCCCGAGTGGACCAGCCGCTCTGGGAACTAGATCTGTGGTGAGACTTTTCTTTTCTGGACTCAGACAACTCCCAGCCACAGACAAATGGCAAAGTCTGGTTATCGGAGAAAAGAATCAAGTTGGGCCTGAATGTGTGCATACACAGATCTTCAGAAAACGCCATTTTGCTAGGTCTGCCGTCTCCCCCTCCCACTGTCCAGATGCCTCTTAGGTCATGGCACTCGCCGTGTGTGTTGCTGGGGCCCCTTGGCTACCCGCCGTAAGTGGCTTGCTGCTGAAGCATCTCTAGTGCTCCATGTCCCTGTGGCATCTTGGAGGGCACAGTGCTCTCCTTCTGTCTGTCCGGTGAGCTTTCACATCCTCGTCCTGGGCAAGAATGAAGGCTGCAGATTAAACGTTTTTTTTTTTCATTTTGAGAGACTTTGCTTTTTTATTTATCCTCTCAGAAAGCACGCACACACACATACACAACATATACAAACATACATTCACATCCACACTCATACACACAAACATGCACACACATACATACACTCACACACACTCACACCAGAGAGGAAAGGCAGTTTTGCTAGCTTTTATATTTAATGGCTGAGCCATCTCTCCAACCCCAGTTCTGCTAACTTTGAGTCAGTGCCTTTTTCTCTCCCCAGGCTACAGTGACCCCCTAAAAAAATAAATAAATAAAGGCTCTGGTCAGTACTAGATGGTTTTCTCTGAAGGAATGCAAGTGTCTTTCTCACCATGGCTCAGGGCAGTTCAGAACTGGAATCCACTTGCTGATTATGGCAGCTCCTAGGCCGTCTTGACTTCAGGAGAACCCTTGAGTGTGTTTATTCCTCTGTGTGTGTACACGTGTGTGTACATATATGTGCAGATAAGAGGGCAAGTTCAGGTACCCTTCCTCAGACTCTGCCTCATTTTTACTTTTTGAGACAGGGCCTGTCACTGGAACTCCCCAAATATGTGAGGTTGACTGAGCCCCAGGGGTCTGCCTGTCTCGACCTCCCTAGTGCAGCGACTGCAAGCATGCACTACCAGATCTGGCTTTTTAAAATGTGGGTTCTGAGACTCAAACTCAGGTCCTCGTGCTCACCCAGCAAACACTTTACCCTCTGAGATATGTCCACAGTCCTGTGGAGACAGTCGTACACTCCGGGCCTGCCTTCTCTCCCCTCCCTCCCACCATCCCTCCTCCCGCCTCCTTCCCTCCCGCCCCCTGCCTCCTGCAGTGTGGTGTTGTGTTCTTCGGGAGCAGTTACCTGAGGGAGGCTCACAGCCACCCAGCCAGGCTCACATGCCTGTCTCTTCTTGCAGGTGGGCTGCAAGCTGGTCATGGTCTTCTTCCAGTACTGCATCATGGCCAACTATGCATGGCTGCTGGTGGAGGGCCTCTACCTTCACACACTCCTTGCCATCTCCTTCTTCTCAGAATGGAAGTGCCTGCAGGCGTTTGTGCTCCTCGGCTGGGGTATGTCTGTCCATGGTGTTATGTGTGTGACAGGTGTGTGGTATGCAGGGAAGGATGGTAAGTTGAGAGTTAGGAGGATTTGGTTTCTAGTTGCAGTTCCATCCATCCACTCATCAGTCCATTCACCAAACCATCCACCATGTTTCCTATCCACTCCATGTATCCATGTATCCATGCATCCATCCATGAACCCATTCATTCATCCTCTCATCCACCCCCCACCTATCCATCCATTCCATGCATCCATCCATGCATTCATCCATCAACCCAT